GTCTTGCCTCAGCCTTTCAAGTAGCCAGGACCATAGGTGCCTGCCACAGCACCCGGCTATTTTTTAGAGATAGGGTCTTGTTCTTGGTCAGGTTGGTCTTGAACTCAGGAGCTCAAGCAATCCACCTGCCTCGGCCTCCCAGTGCTGGGATTACAGGCATGAGCCACCGTGCCCAGCCTGCAACATATTCTTAAGAATGAACTACCCTGAAAATATTTAGGAAGCAGTCCTTTGAAATTAAGGTCCAGTCTAGATCATAAATGAATCAATGAAACAATGAAACAATGAATCAAGGAGGACCTATTTGGCACTTACAATCCAAAGTTTCACTCCAGAGCTCCGTAAGTGAAGGAGAGAGGGAGAAAAAGGAAGAGAGAAGCCCCACAGAACTCCCTATAGAAGGCGGAGGCAGAGCCGGCTGGAGGAAAGAGAATTCTCCCTCACTGGGCTGTAGGTCCCTTTTCCCTGGGCAGGCCTGAGTCTATGTGAAAAGAGCCTTGGGACACCTTTGCATGACTCAGAAAGGGGTATCCATTTTCCAGGCAGCGAGCCCCCCTACCCCACACTTGGATGGCTCATTGCCTGGACTATCACACAGGGGCTGAGTTTCAGCCCCACCTTGCAAGCAAAACCTACGAAGCTCCCGGTGGGTGCTCTGATCTTGCCCCCTTTCTCCCAGGAGCTTGTGGCCCTAGAGGACTAGATGAGAGTCAGAAACAGCTTCCACTCCTGGCACTGTCTCAGGTGCGAGACTCTTCATGAGTCAGTCAACCTGTCGGGGCCTTCATCTCTAAAAACTGAAGGGCCCAGCTGAGAGGCCATCAAAGGTCCCCTTCTCGATTCTCAGTTGCAAGCTGGCAATATGTAGTTGGTATATTCCAAACTGTGTCCCTAAAACACCAGGATCCCATGGGTTGAGTTCAATCTTTAGTGTTTCTGTGATCATGTTTTCTTTTCTATCATATCTTATTTCTGAAGTTTTTTCTTTTCTTTTCTTTTCTTTTTTTTTTTTTTTGAGACAGAGCCTCAAGCTGTCCCCCGGGTAGAGTGTTGTGGCATCACAGCTCATAGCAACCTCCAACTCCTGGGCTCAAGAGAGTCTCCTGCCTCCGCCTCCCAAGTAGCTGGGACCACAGGTGCCCACCACAAAGCCCAACTATTTTTTGGTTGCAGCCGTCATTGTTGTTTGGTGGGCCCAGGCTGGATTCAAACTCGCCACCTTAGGTGTATGTGGCTGGACCCTTACCCACTTGAGCTACAGGCGCCAAGCCTGAAGTTTTATTTTTCTATTAATCTTAAGACTATACACTGCTTTCAACCCCAAAGTGCTCAATATTTTTAGAGCCAACAAAATATTGAGCACCCACCACATATTGGCCTCAAGCTACCCAAATGTCTATCACCAGAACGGATAAATAAACTGGATATATTCATTCACAGAAATAAAAGAACTACTGTTTCCTGTATCAATTTGAATATATTACATGACATTATGTTGAGTGGAAGACGACAAAAAAGAACTTACATTTGATTGCATTTAAATGCAGTCCAAGGGCCGGGTACAGTGGCTCATGCCTATAATCCTAGCACTATGGGAGGCCAAGGCAGATGGATTGCTTGAGCTCTGGAGTTCGAGACCAGCCTAAGCAAGAGTGAGACCTTGTCTCTACTAAAAATAGAAAACTAGCCAGACATTGTGGCCGCACTTATAGTCTCAGCTACTCAGAAGGCTGAGGCAAGAGGATCTCTTGAACTCAGGAGTCTGAGGTTGCTGTCAGCTAAGGTGACACCATGGCACTCTAGCCTGGGCAACTGAGACTCTGTCTCAAAAACAAAACAAAACCCAGATACACGCACTAAAAACTAACTAATTATTGAATGCAGTCCAAGAACAGGTTAAATCTAACCTAGGACACTGGAAGTCAGAATAGTAGTTACCGTGGTCAGAGATTAGGGCTGCAAGGACAGCCTTCTGTGGGGTTAGCACCCTTGTTTCTTAATCTGGATGAGGGTTGCCCAGGTGTGACCGTTTTGTGCTATGTACTTATGACTGTGCCTTTGTCTGGTTGTATGAAATAATTCAATAACAGGATCAAAGAACAAAAAGCTCATGGGGACCAGAAAAAAAAAAGTCACCATCTGAAACTGTATGACACATGGGCCGCTGCCTATAGGAAGGAAATTAGTTACTTCCAGGTCACTTAGTCTGACCTGAAAGAGAACCACCTCCAAAACTACATGATGAAATCTTAACACGTTTCCTAAAACTTTTGTCCAGAATTTGCTAGTTTTTTTTTTTTAATGATTTCCTCCCTCACATGAAAACTATGGGTATAAATCAATATAAAATATCATTTTTTCTGTCTTCACATACAGGTAAAACATTATTGCTCATAGTTTTATAAAATATATGTACAAAGACGAAGTTGTTAGAAAACACCTGAAAATACCTCAAGATAACTCATTTGTAATACTAAAGAGCAAAGTAGATTCTCTGGGTCAGAATTATGCAATTATTAGTACATTAATGTATGAACTGGACGATGACCAACCCTCTACCTAGTTTCCTGCTGTCCCGATTCAACTCTGCTAACTAAGCCCACACAGCGGGGAAAGACGTTCAGGAAAACGCTGTGCTCCTAACAAATGTATCAGGAAAACCTGGCCTTTTCCTTGAGACTACATTTGGTTCATCTGTGAATTTGTTTCAGCACATTTTTCCCTTCCTAAAGTAATACAATCGGTCTTCAGATCAATGATTTCTTTCACCGTCTCACTGTTCTGTAACCCTTCTTTCATCAATATGGTATACTGCACAAACTGCACCAGAAGTAACAAAACCACTAGATTACATAAGATAATTAGGAGCACAGACTGCTTGCTTTTGCCCAAGCCTTCATTCACAACTCCAGGGATGACCACTGTGGAGCCTCTCCGGCCCCCCAGCATGGGGGGCAGGCATTAGTAGTTTGCTTCTCCAAATGCTAGGGGGCTAACTAAGTATTTGTAGAATCATTAGCACTGACACAAAAAAATGCTTCCAGTCTTTGGAATGGGAAGTGGCTTTTGGGCGGCAAGGAAGACAGTAACAAGTATCCAGTTCCTGCACATTATTTAACAGCAAACTAATGATTCAACACTAAGGCAGGCAGGGATTGCAGGATAAATATCAATTAGCAGCCGTACTTATTCACGATATACGCAGACCTTACAGGGCACCCTCATTCTAATCATTCTAATTCTTTTCTCAGCTAAAAAGATCTTATTCTTTAATTTCCACTTTTAAATAGAAAGTTCTCCCTACTTCAGCCTGTTTTAAATACTTATTCTTCTAAATTAAAATGTTCCTTGCTGGAGGGTGTGGTGGCTCAGCCTGTAATCTCAGGCCAAGGCAGGTGGACTACTTAAGCTCGGGAGTTTGAAACCAGCCTGGGCAAGGGCAAGATCCCATCTCTACTAAAAATAGAAAAATTAGCCAGTCTTTGCGGTGGGTGCCTGTAATCCCAGCTTCTTGGGAGGCTAAGGCAGGAGGATCACTTGAGCACAGGAATTTGAGGTTGCTGTGAGCTGTGACATCCATTGTACTCTAGCCTAGAAAAATAGAATGAGACTCTGTCTTTAAATAAATAAGAGAAAGAAAAAGTTAAAAAAAAATTTTTCCTTGAAATTCAATGCCCAGTATTCTACCTCCTCCTTCCTTTCAAGTTATCCCTTTAAATGTTTTCTACTTATTTTTACAGGCCCCCAAAGCCTCTTCCTCAGGATAATGTATAATTTAAAAATCCTTTTTTTTTAACCTCCTATATCAAAGTTTAACCACCGAGACCAACAATGCCATTTTGTCCGTCTATGTTTTACGGAAGATACATTTTAACTAAAATTTCACCACTCCAAAAATTCCTTCACTAAATCTTTGCTATTTCCTCCTCCTACACTCAATTAGTTTATACACAATCACTATGTAAGCACACTCCCAAATGTGTAATTATGCAATCATACAAAGCCTTCCTAAAATTATATAATTTTAACGTGTGCAACAAACAGACTTTATAACTCTAGTGTTGGGAATACAGGTTAATACCCTGACGTTTTCTTATAACTTGTGTTCTCCGTTTCTCTGTTTCCTGGGGGTGGGAAGAGGTAGAGAATCACCACACAAGGACCCACTTACCTGAAGCCACAGACTGTTATAGCACCATTCCTCCAAAGATGGTATACACACAGAAAACGTTTTTCTTTAACCAAAGAAAGAATGCATAAATGAAAGCCAAAAGTTCTATACTTTGCCCATAAGGAAACACAAACTGAATACCTCCTGTTTTCCCAGTTATAAGAGAAGCGGCTTCATCTATCAAACCGGAGCGTTTATGAGGTTTATAGTAACGAATAAAAGAAAACCCAAACTCTGCATAGATACAGAAATCTATCCTTTAGAAGGCCTACTATCCTAAGAACTTTAGAGAAAGCCCATGAAATTTAGTTCCCAACGCAGAAAACTACCTCATGGAGAATTTGTGAATGGCATCTGGGATCCAGGCAGTCTCATCAGCAGAAGGGAAAACTTGTTGAGATCACCCAAATCTAAAATTCACATACGTTTTTACATCTGGGCTGAATTAATCTTTTCTTGGTACTGGCTTTCATGTAATAAAATAATTGTTTGCAGGTTTCACTTTTTTTAACCCACGGCTTCAGAAATCAAAACGTGCAACATCCAAGTTGAAAACTACAAAGAATTCCTTTATCAAAAAGTTAGTTGTGAGACAGGATTCGTTTATACTAAACTCTGAATCTGACAGCGCAGTCAAAAACAATTCTGTCAGAGACTTTCATTTCAAGCATCTGCCACAAAAGGCTACACAGTCTATTATGTCATAAGTTCTGAAAGCCAAAAGCTGTATAAGCATAGTTAAACGCAGAAACAAAATCCAGAAACTAGAAAAAACTCTGCACCACCCCACCCCACCCCCACTAATTTAGCTAGCCCAATGTACTATTACCTAGTACGCTGGCATTTTGCTTACAAAAGCAGTGTCTTCATCCTGGCCTGTGTTGTTTTCAGGCATTTTCCTGTAGAGCCAGGGGCATCTTAAATCTGCAAGTTTAAAATTATGTACTTAAAACTGGTAGCTTACCCAGGAGGTCCCTAAAAGAAAGGACTGGAAATAAACATCTTCTGTCCCTTAAAATGTTTTGAGCACTGCAAGAACTGTTGATTCCTAAGGCCCATCAGTGTCAGATGGAGGGACTCTCACAAGCAATTCAAAGGGGGGGAAATTAGTTCATATTACAGTCAGTCTGCTTTCGGGAGAAGATACTGCAGATAACTGGATATTAAATATCCCCTGGGGGACCCTTTTCATCTAATAATCCTTCCAAAGGTCCATTTTAATATGAAATACGAATACAATATGTTTACAAACACACTATGAAAGCATTAAAATGTCAGTTGTGTCATATTGCGGAGTATTTTCATTTTTCACATAAAACGTTTCTTTCTTAAAACCACACCACCACCACCCCCCAAAATGATTAGGTGCAAGAAGTTTTATACCACAAAGGACAACAGCAAAGGCATCTGTTTTCCTGCCTCTCTTCAGGTCTTCTCCCATCCCCCACTCTCCATCCTGCAGGCCATTTGTAGGTCTCGGTTGTTAAAACTACTTTCTACAAGTCTCATGATGTCGGGATTCTAAAAAACTCCTCATCTTTTAACACTGCTAAACCCAAACTTATGCCCTCCTCTAAGAAGGAAACCCAAAAGTCACAAGCTTTTTAAATGACAGATGCATTACGGAAAATTTTCCCCACAAAGTTTTGATGCTGTGAAATATCAACTCCCTGAAATCACAGAAAGGAAATGACTTACATTCTTGGAAAATGAAGCCACTAGCAGCTTTCTCCAACAGCATTTTCTAATCCCTAAACTACACCCTGTGGCAAGAGGGAGCATTCCGTGTAAAAACTCAATTTAAATAGATGCCTTAAGCCCTCCAAACATCTCCAGGTCCCAGAGAAGAAGGTAAGGAACAATCTGTGGAAAATCTAGCAGGAGATACTTTTTCTCCTCATTCAAAAATGCTGGAGAGCACAGGCCGGAGTGTAAAGCGACCTGAGAACACTGGCTGAAGTTTTCCCTCCCCGCTGCGGGCAGCGCACAGCTCCAGAGGCACACGCTAGCAAAGCAGATTTTTGCTAAAAAAAACCGAGAACGATGTGAGGAAAACGAGCTAATTATTTCTGGGGACACTTGCTACACAAATGCACGGTCTGAAAATACGTCAGCTATCATTTCTCCTTTAAAAAAATGCTTATTTTGACAGCTTTCCATCTATTCATGCCTTTAAGAAAACGCCCTCACCATCAGGCTACGCCGTCCCGGGACTCGAGGTGTTGTTTCAGTCCCGATGGAACTGATCTGGGTGGCCCCCGGCTGTCCATACCTGACAGCGCCTGGCCCTCTCGCCACCAGCAGAATCTGGGGGTCTCCTCCGCCCCGGGCTCGGCCTGCGCGCCGCCAGCTCCTCCAGGAGCCCAAACAAGCAGGCCGCGCCCCCTACTCTAATTCTCCCCAGGTCCCCCGCAGCCCCGAAGCACCCAGCTAGCCTCCTGTCCCTCCCCCCCCAGGCACTTTCGGGGCAGACACCGCACTCGGGTCAGTCCCTGCAGCGGGCGGCCCGGCCCCCGCGCGCGCCTAACAGGCAGCCGGCGCAGCCCCCAGGGACGCCGGGCTCCGGTGCCGGCCCTGACAACCGGGTCGCAGCCACACAAAACTGGGCGCTGGGGACCCAAGGAGCCCCGTGATCCGACAACCAGAGTGGCGTCCCGAGCCCGAACCGGCCTCCCGCCCTCGCCCTGGAGGCGGTCCCAGAGCTCTGCGCCTCCCCAGCTGCCGGGCTCGGCTGCCCCGGGGCCTCGTCCTCCCGCCCCGGCGTGGGCGAGCTCCGACTCGCGGAGGGGCCACCTTCCCGGCCGGTGCCCGACGCCCAGAGCAGGGAAACGAGACGTAGGACAAGAAAGGCGGAGAAGGGGCACTGCCTGCCTAGGACTCGCGAGTGCCCGCAGCCCTCCCGAAACCCCGTCCCTTCGCCACCGCCGCCGCCGCCCGGCCGGCAGGGGGCACAGCGGGCTGCCGGGGCGCGGCGGCGTGCTGAGAGGCCCCGGTCGCCCAGTTTCTGTTCGTACCTCGGAGAAAGTCCCGAGCGCCGGGTGTCGCACTCTCATTAGCTCCGCGTCCCTCCCTGCCGACACCTAGCCCGGCGCGCTCCTTTCAGCCCCTCGGCCCCCGGCGGCCGGACGAGCGCTCCGCGTCCGCCCCGCCCACGCTCACGCCCCGCCCCCAGAGGCCCCGCCCCCGGTCCGCCCCTAGGTGGGGGCGGAGGCCGTGGAGCTCGCGGCCGCACGTGGAGCGCCCGCCCGCCCCGCCCCGGACCCAACCAAGCTTCCCATGGAGGGGTGAGGGGACTTGGGGTTGGAGGAGCGAACATGGAAGCCCCCCTTCAGGGTCCTGGGAACCGAGGTCGAGCCTTAAATAGATGGTTGCGGGGGAACACTGGCGATCTCGCCCTTTTCTGCTGCTATAGAGGTGGAGACGCGAAGGTACACTATCGGCTTCCCCCCTCTAGCCGAATGGACCTTTCCGCGGCTAGCCCCCGCTCCCGCGGGACGCTCCCTGCGCAGCACAGGCTGGCTGGCTGGCCGGGGGCGGCGGTTTGGCCTGAGTCGGGTCTTACTAACGCGCAGCGAGGGAGGCCCGGCCCCTCCGAGAGGAGGTGGTGCCCGGCGGAGGAGGCTTCGTGACTCCCCGCAGCCCTCGGGGCCTCCAGTCCCGCACTCACCACTTGGGACGCCGCGCCCTCGTGGGTTTTATGCTGGATGGAGGGGGTGTCGCCGAGGAAGCCCAGACTCCCCCGGTAACTCGGCCTCTCCAGCTCTTCAGGTAGACACAGCCTCTGCTGTGCTTTTCAGTGCCTGCGGCCCCTCACAAGTTATTTTTGCCTCCTCCCTGTTGTGGTCGGGGGTTCGGGGGCGGGGGAGAGGCCGGCGAACAAAGGGCTGGTGGAAATTTTTATATAAATGGCTAAAAGTCGAGCTAGCAGATGGAAGTTTCATCGCCGCCTTTAGTGGATGGGTCTGGTAAGGGGTTAGCCATACATCTCTAGTCAACTTGCACCCATGGGGACCCGCTGCTGGGGACAGGAGATAAGGGAGGGACAGCCTCCACCTGGCTCTCAGGCCCGCCACCTCCAGAGCTCCAACCTGCGGGGATTTTACCCTTCTAGACCTTCCGTTGACTTTGCTGACCCAGTGACCCCTGGCCATGGGTGGCAGAAACACCCCCCACTGAGTCCTTCGCTGAAGGAGTAAGGGGATGTCTTTGTGCATCTGGCTTTGACAACTGGGTGAAAGGAAGCAGAGGAGGACCTGAGACAGGACACTGTCCAAAATCTGATGCCAACAGAAGTCAACTTTAAAATTACTCTGCTCTTTTTACCTAAACATAAATATGTAAAGGTAGCTGTTACTGGTTCAAAGTGTGCCTGTTGTTTGCATGGCAGAGAAGTTCACTGTTCATTGTTCATTACAGGTGAAGGTCACTTGGATTAGTTGCCTCATTCACAGCTTTTCCATTTTGGGAATCATGAGATTACGACTGAATATTAGGAACTGTGATCTTTTGTCTTTTCACAATCGAGCTTATTTCTGGGCAGTTTCTGAGAATTTAAAGTCTTGACTCCTTTATGGAAAGAACAAGAAATATGTTCCAATAACTGCCTTTAACATTAGTTGTACTTAATATATGAAAATTAAAAAGTGGTTAACAGTAGTTGATCACAACATAAGTATTTAAAAGTGAAGGACTGCACTTTTTTCCCTTTTTTTGTCTTTTATATGTATTTATAACTAGCATTATACTGAATGCTAGTTGGTAGGGTCTTTAACTGATGTCACATGAGATAATCCTGAAGATCATATGTAAGGATCAATCAGATAAATGAGATGTTATCAGATAACATCAGATAAATGTATTGTTATCTTGGAAAACAGTTCCTAAATCTGATTTATTTTCAGGTTTCATGCATCAAAATGGGACAGATAAAGAACAACATATTGTTAGGTTGTAAAATATTGCTGCAAATATAAAATAATTAGGTAACTTAAAGAGCAAATACTTTAAACAGCTTTTTAAAACGTGTTTAAAATTGAGTTTGTCCAGAATTGTAGGACGTTTTCTATTAAACATTCTTCTGAGCTATAATAATCATATTAACAGTATGAATGCTACAATAAACATGGACTCTTAATATATTTTGTAAACTAAGTCCTTTTTTGTGTTTTGTGCCAGACCCCACCTGAATAAGCCAAGTACTTTAAAGTTCTTAAAATCAGTTTTATAAGCTCCTATAACATCATAAAGCTCTAAAGGATTGATTGGAAAACAGTACATACTATTACAACCATGGAAAAGGAGCTGAGAAAGGATGGATTGTTTTAAGTTTTGTTTTTGTTTTTGTTTGAAACAGGGTCTTGTTCTGTTGCCTGGGCTATAGTAAAATGGTGTTATTATCATGACATGCTCACTACAACCTCAAACTCCTGGGCTCAAGTGATCTTCCCATCTTAGCCTTCTGAGTAGCTAAGACTACAGGCATGCACCATTGTGCCTGGCTAATTTTTCTGTATTTTTTTTTAAGAGATGGGGTCTTGCTATGTTGTCCAGGCTGGGCTTGAATTATAGGCCTCAAGCCATCCTTTCACTTCCACCTCCCAAAGTGCTAAGATTATAGGCATGAGCTACCATGCCCAGCTTGATATTTTTCTCATCACAGAAATATTTTTGTGTGTGCTTATTACAATAAAGAATGCAATTTTGTGGGTAATTTGAAATTGTATTTTATGGTTGTTTATAATATAGGGATATAGCTTTATTTTCACTGATGAGATGTTTTTCTAAATATGGGACATTGCCCTCCAATGAAACCTTATCCTAAACACACCATAAACTTTTTCCATGACATTTAAATATTAGCACTATTCTATATTTTGGCTTTTATTTTAAGAAGTCATTCTTCATTC